GAATTTCTACAATACTGTTAATTGTACTATCTGCAGTGTTTAAATGCTTACATATACACACAGTTACTGTCCCTCCACACATACGACTTGGTTCTGCTTCTATGCCCTAGCTTTGTTTACTTTTTCCCACCGAGGCTTCTAGACTTCTGATTGGCCAACATCTCTGCACGGTTAGGAATATATCGCCACCTGTTGCTTTGGCATGTTCCTAGCAGCGTTTTCCTTCATTTCTGCCTTTACGTGTGGATGGGATTATTTTTTAAAACGAAAACGGAAAATCTCCGTTTTCAAAAATACCCGTGTACGTGTGGACGTAGCCTTAATTTATGTCGGAAGTGATAGCAGAGCTGTTTAATTTTTTAGAAATCTCTCAACCAGAACATGGTATATTATTTAATCTGGAGACTTCCTGTGTACCACTAGATGGATCCCAAGTACCACCAGTGGTACGTGTACCACAGTTTGTGAACCACTGTCCTAGACCATCTTGATTGTGTTTAGGTCAGGGGACTGTGGAGGCCAGGCCACCTGGCACAGCATTACTCTCCTTCTTGGTCAAATAGCCCTTACACAGCCCAGAGGTGTGTTTGGGGTCATTGTCCTGTTGAAGAACAAATGATGGTCCAACTAAACACAAACTGGATGGGATGGCATGTCGCATGCAGGATGCTGTGGTAGCCATGCTGGTTCAGTGTGCCTTCAATTTTGAATAAATCCCCAACAGTGTCACCACTAAAGCACCCCCACACCATCACACCTCCTTCTCCATGCTTCACAGTTGGAACCATGCATGTAAAGACCGTCCATTCACCTCTTCTGCATCACACAAAGACACGGAGGGTGGAACCAAAGATCTCAAATCTGGACTCCTCAGACCAAAGCACAGATATCCACTGGTCTAATGTCCATTCCTTGTGTTTCCTGGCCTAAACAAATCTCTTCTGCTTGCTGATTTTCCTTAGTATTGGTTTCTTAGCAGTTATTTGACCATAAAGGCCTGATTTGTGCAGTCTCTCCCCCATAGTGTGTGTTCTGTCCAATCCTCGTGTGCTCTTTTTCTTTTCTCTCAATCACAACCAGGTGCAGCGGACAGCTGCCCCCTCCCTGAGGCTGGTTCTGCTGGAGGTTTCTTCCTGTTAGAAGCGAGTTTTTTCTTCCCACAAGTGTTTTAATAGTGGATTGCCTTATTGTAGGATTTTATCCCAAATACTGTAGGGTCTATACTTTGATTATAAAGTACCTTGAGGCAACTGTTGTGGTGATTTGGGACTATATCAATAAACTTGAACGTTTTCAATGCACCAGAGTTAATGTATTTTTTGTTAAATATGTCAAACAACTTGGGTACAAAATATATAGTGCAGAATTTTTCTGTGTCAAACACATCAGGTTGGATTTGTTGATCCATG